CATCCCTCTGGATACTGGGCACTCACAAGATGTGTGATCTTGGCCCAGTTCCATGGGGCTTGCTGATTCTCAGTTTTCTTGAGGTAAAATGTGACCAATTCTCCCTGCCTACCAAAGGATTCTACAAGATGATGACTGTAACATGCCCATCCAGGCCTCATCCTTTCTCAGGGATCACAGAAGCACCCTCCTACCTGGCCTCCTATCTTGCCCAGATATGGACCATGAGAAATCCGCCCGTGCTCAAAAGCCTTCCATGGCTCCCCACCATGGACAGAGTCCAGCTTCCTACCCCGGTATTTTCTGTGCTACATCAGTTTGCTGACCGCAGCTCTGGCTGGGGCAACATTTTCCCTTCCCACCAGCAAATTTCCCCATCATCAACCTTCCCTGATGCCCCCTGGCTGGGTTAAGTGTCCCTCTTGTGGTTCTTACCTGCCATTGTAACCTTCCTCTGGGCCATGGTCATCCATACCCCGGTGTGTCTCCCCCGCAGTGTAAGAGGTCCACAGGGCAGGGCCTGGACCTAATTCATCTCTGAGTCCCTCCCTGGCACTACCTAGCACAGGACCTGGCACTGACTAAGGCTCCAGAAATTCTGGATGAAGGAATAAAGAAATGAACAAAAGAATGAATACTCAAGTTGGCGGGCTCTCCCTCAGGCTCTCACGGGAGCACCCAAGCACATCACACATAGACCACAACCCACAGGCTGGGAAGGCAAAAGAACCTGTCAGCCAACCAGGCAACCAGCCTTCCCAGAATCTTACCAGCTTTAGCCAACTATAAAGCTGTCCCCAGAATTACAAGTATGTCTTTGTCAAGTGTCTGCCAGAGGCCAGGTCACCATCTGCTCCCCCAACTTCCTCCCTAAGTACAAGGTCTCCTATTCCAACTCAACATGGGCCCCATCCCCCTGCCATTCATAGAGATGCAAGCCCCAAAAGCCCCTCACGCATGAGGGTGTTATAAAGACTGGGTACAGGAAAGTGTGGATGTAGTACAAAAGTGTGTTAGTGGCCTGTTTTTTAACAGATGGGGGAACATGGTGGTTCTTAGAGGTAACAGACATCAGGATGGATGGGTGTGATCAGGGAGCGCTGCATGTCTCCTGGGCTCCTCCCTACCCCAACATCCAGCCAGTTGGTCCCCAAGTGTCACTGGTGAAGCTCTGCAAATGTTTCACTCCCTGTCCGGCTTCAGAACTCACCTGCTTGTGCAGGCTAGCATACTAGGTCTCCAGCTAGCTGGTGAGCCATGCCCCATACCAGCTCAAAATCCTTTCGTGGCTTCCTACCAACCCCAAGAGAAAAGCCAAGCTTGATATTCAAAGTCCTGTTTTCACTGCTTCCACTGCCCTCCTCACCTCCCAGTCAACAGTCTAAGCAGACCATACAAACCTAGACACGGCTCCTAAAGCCCAAGTCTCTTTTTTATCTTTACAACAAATGTTTCATATTTTCATCCAGCAAACTCTTACACATACTTCAGAACCCTGCTCCAATGACCCCCTCCCACCAACCCAGCAGAGTTCTCTTGCTCTCGTAGGCCCATCTACCCACCTACCAATGCCTATGTCTCCTTCCATCTCAGCCCTTTGAGGACTAAAAGTCTGTGGCCCACCCTGAGTACTTTGAGGGCTAACTGTCTGTGGCCAGCCCTACCATTCCCAACTAGGCCAGAAAAATACATATCAATAGCTCCTAGTCTGTTCTTACCCACAGACAGGAATGATTCCCAAGCTGGGAACAATCAGATACTCTCAACTCCAAGAAACATTATTTCATCCACAGCCCACACAGCAGCCATTGAAACCTTCTAAATCACAAATCAGATCGTGCTTTCCTTCCCACAGTTCCCCAGCACCTCCGGCTAAGGACCAAACTCCAAAACCTGCCAAGAGAGGCCCCACGCCAGCCAAGACTGTCACGCCTGAGGCCTTCACCTAGACCCTCCTCTGGAGACTCCCACCTCTGCCAGGAGGCCAGCTCCTACATTAACAGAAGGCTTTCCCACACTTTTCTAGCCAATGCCTTGGACTTCTCTTCCACCTGCCTGTTGCCCTCAGGATACAACTCAAAATCATAAGGTTCAACACACCCCTCCGGCTCTTACCAATCTTTCAGCCTCTGCCTCATAGTTTATCTTGTACTATGTGTTCCAGCAGACTGGTTCCTCAAAAGCATCATCCCTCCTGTTCCCAGGCCCCTGCACCAACTATTCTCCTTGCCTGAATGCACATTTACACATGCTTCTGGTCTCAGCTACAGCCCAGGTTAAGTCAGCCATCTTTGGCTCCCCACTCCCTGGGGATGGATCTATTTGTCCCACTGGACTGGTAGATCTTATGGGTACAACTAGGGCCTTTGCACATGCTATTCCTGAAACACTCTTCTTCCTCCTGGCTGACTTGTTGGTTTTTTTAGATCTCAACTCAGTCATCTCCTCCTCTAGGAAGCCCTCCATGTTCTCCCTAAGACAGTCTCTGCTTCTGCTCAGGACAGGCACCTCCTCTATGTTCCCTCAGAACCAATAGATCCTCTATCACATTCCTAACCACTCTAGACTGTAACTTTCTATTCAAGTTTTTGTCTCCCCTACTGGATACCTGTCATTAGGGATAGTTAGGACTATCTTGGTCTCCACTGTGTCCCAGTAGCTAATGTCTTTTTATTAAAGTTCTTTTTTAAATCCTCATACCATTTATTGAACATTTACTATGTGCCAGGCATGTTAAATATTCATTCTCAGTTCCTTTCATCCCCACAACCTTAGGAGGTGGACACTATTATTATCCCCAGTTAAGGGGAAGGGGAGGAAGGGGAACTGAACCTCAAAGAAAAGAAGGAAGCCACCAAAGACACAAAGTTAGTAAGAAGTGGAGCCCAGGTCCCTCCCTGGTGATGCAGTGGGTTGATGCACAGCACTGAGAAGCTAAAGCCACTTCCGCATGAGTTCGATTCCCGCCTGCCCCGGAGGTGACCACAGGGCGCGACAGACCTCTCCTGGCCCGCCTGCTGCTCCCCTCAGCAGTGTACTTCGTCGATCTGCCTGTTCTGCTCCCCACTCTGTCTCTGGTGAAGCCTCTCGCCGCCCCTGAGCCTCTAGCCTGTACCCCAGTTCTGTATGCACAAATAAATAAATCTTTTTTAAAAATTAAAAAAAAAAAGAAGTGGAGCCCAAATTTAATGCCAGATCATTGAGCTCAGTGTCTGAGTTTCTAACGATGACCCTAATACCACGGATGCTCCATCTGAGTCTGGATGCAACTTTCCTACCAGATTTCAAGGCCTTCCAGGGAAGGTCAACCTTGTCTACATTTTAGAGCAAAAAGGGCTCTCTGGGAATGTGGTAAGTGGACGAATGAGTCCACAGATGAATGAGTTAGGAGATGAGTGGGTGTGTGACCCAAGCTGCCCCACTCACCCTCGATGAGCCACTCGCAATTGCCATTGACGCTGTAGTTGCCCGCACCATCCGTCACGAAGCCTGGCGCCTCCCGCAGCACTTGGCGCTGTCCCTTGCAGTCCCCAGCCCGAGCCCCAGGGGACAGCGGCCCCAGCACCGCCAAAGACAGAGTCAGCGCTAGGGCCAGAGCCCGGCTCGGAGCCATCGCCTCCTCCAGCTCTGACCCTTACAGACCCGGAGAGGACCCTCCACCCGTGAGGTCCTGCAAATGCGACTTCTATAGACGGAACATAGCCGTGTAGACCGGGGAGGTCCAGGAATCGTAGTCCCGGCGAAGGGAACCGTCGCTTGTACAGGGATCTGGAAGCCCAGGGATGGGCCCTATAGACCCATGGAAGGCCCTGTAAATGGGCTCGTTAAATGGGGCCGACCCCGAGAGGCCGTGGGAGTCCCTAACAAACAAGGACCCTCAGAGGTGGCTGAACCCGTAAGTGGTATCCAGCAGTTACAAGCGCGGGTCGCTGCAGGCCGAAACGGACCTTACAGACCGGTGCGTCCCCATGGGGCGAAGGGCTCTACGACCCGGCGGGGGCCTCCATAGAGAGAGCGGGCCCGACCCAGAGAGGCCCGGATGGTCCCGGGGAGACCCCTCCAGCCGGGGGCGGGGCGCGAGTGGGTGCTGGGGGCGGAGCCCGTCTTCCGGGGCCTGGACCCCATAGACGCACAGCTACGTTCACCCACCCGCGCCTCCCTCCGGAGCCGGATAGGCCAGATCAGAGAGACGAGGGGACGCTCGGGCCAGAGAGGCCCAGTGAAGACCCGCTGGGAGGGCAAGGGGGCGGGGGCTGAGCGGCCGCTGTGGGAGGGAAGACGGAGAGGAGGCGAGACGTAGCGGAACCGCAGGTCAGAGCGGCTCCGGGAGGACTGCGGAGCACGCAACCCCACCCCTCCACAAAAGGAGACTTCCGGAAACGTCCCCGCCCATTTGTTCTCAGACGCATGCGCAGTAATCTCTCGGTGAATAGAATTTACACATGCGCAGTAGTAAAAATCGCAGCCCAAACTCCCGCTGCGGGAGGCTAAGAGAAGCTTGCGCCACTGGAGGGCGCCTCCACCTCTGGCAAGGAAGAGAAGGTAAAAATAACGGAGCAGTGTGGTAAAAGGGCTCTGCGGGTAACTCTCGTCTTCAGTGCTCCCAGATTCTGCATCAACATAAAGACCAGGGTATTGCAGGTCCCACCCAAATGCCATTTCACAGATGGACACATCGAGGCCCCGGACCTGGGCTGGTTCTTGCTCAGCCCCGCCTCTGAGCGCTAAGATATAAAAGAAACCAGCTGATAAAAACTCAACGAATCCTCTTTATTTTGGCAAGAAGGGAAAAAAGTCTTCCCGCTGGGGACCTGAGGGAGGGCCCCCGGCATGGAGATTGGGGTGAACAGAGCACGGGTCCGAGGTCACAGAGATCCAAGGGAAGGTTTCAGAATGGAGACCAGCTTCACAATATCCGTCCAGAAGCAGAGGCTTGCGGTCGCGGAGTCCTGGAGAGTCCCGGCCAGGGTCCCGGCGATGGTCACTGGTGTTCCGGGGTCCCGCGGGGTCAGAAGTCTCGGAGGGGGCCGGGGGGCCGGAGGTCACGGAACAGCGGGAGCCCAGAATCCGGCGCCGCTCGGGGCAGGGGCTGAGGGACGGGACGGGGAGAGAGGCTCCCGCGGGACCGTTTGGCACAAAAAGGGGAAGGGGGAGCAGGACACTACGCACCCTACCCGGGCGCGCAAGGTGGGGAGGGCCGGGAGGGTCTGCAATGGCCAAACCCTGGGACTGGGGTAGAACAGGGGTCCGTAGCCCTGCCTGGGCCTGCGCGCGGCCCGGGGGAACAAGGGAGGACCGGGAGGTGGCAGGGAGCAGGGGGGCTCAGACCCGGGGTGCGGTGCCCCCGGCCGTGTGCATGCTGAAGTATTCTGTGAAGCCGGTGTGCGGCGCCGCCGTCTGGGGTACGAGCGGCTGGTAGGGCGGCGTCGGGCCATCCCAGCTCGGGTCAGCCGCCTTGGAGAACCGAGCGGGAAGGGGCGGGGAGGCCGCACCCGGCTCGGCCATGGTCACCACGCGGCCCCTCGGGGCCGCCGCCGCCGCCACCGCGGTCTCCTCCACCTGCTTCCCGGCCTGGGAGGGGGGTTAGGGTCAGAGGTCGCCCGGTACCAACGGGGGGGCAGATGCGGCCCCGAAGGCCCTTCCTCCTCCCCCCGGAGGACCCCCCCTACCCGAAAAGTGGGCGCATGTGTCAGTCAGGGAAGGAACGAGTGGCGGGGCGCCTAGGCAGTGGGGCTAAGTACTCGAGGGGTGGTGTCACGACGCGGGGGGCGAACTCCGGCGGCGGCGGGGGAGGCGGAGGGGAGCCGCGGAAGGCTGGCGGCGGGGGCACAGCGCGAAGCGTCAGCGGGGGCGTACGGAGCAGCGCCAGGACCCAGTCCGGCAGGGTGGACGCGGAAGCCGGGGGGTGGTCGCGGCGCGGCGTTGGGGCCCGGGGCGTGCGAAAGGCAGGGGGTGGGCTTAGGTGCCTGGGTGCAGGGGGCGGCGGCGGGGCCGGGAGCGGGGTCAGGTACTCCAGGGGCGGCGCCAGCAGCTCCTCGGGCGCCGGGGGCGCGGGGCTTACGGAGGAGGCGGGCGGGGGGATGGAGAAGAGCTCCGTGAAGTTGGGCACTGAGTCGCTGATGAACGTCACGTTGCCATAGACGTGCTGCGGGAAGGCTTTGTCCGCGGACTGGCTCCCTCCTGGGCCCGGGGCCCCGGCTGAGGCGATCTGAGACGTGCGCACGTGGTAAGGGAAGTTCTTGTTGGCTGCAGACGGACGCGTCATGATCTAGGGCGAGGGGTCAGGCGCTAGAGAGCCACTGTCACCGTCCCACGGTGTCTTCATATACAGGGTCCTAAGGATTCTCCTTCACTTGACGTCTCCCCACCCCCCCACGCTTCCCTGCACCCTTTAGCTGGATTAGCTGCCACCACTGGGCTCTCCGTGTCCTCCTGCCCAGACATTTTTCCGGCAACACAATTCTTACTGCTTTGCTGATGCTTCCTCGCTCAGAGCCCTGATCGCTGAGTTATCACTGACTGGCTAAGCTTCGATATCCTGCACAATCCACACCACTAGCCATGAACAACTAATTAAATGTAATTTATTATAACTAAATTTTTGTTTCTAGTCAGATTTAAGTGTGCAAGAGCAACATGTGGTTGCTCGCTGCATTGGACAACACAGACGACAGCATGTTTTCATAAGCACAATTCAATTCAACAACAACTGATAGATCTAGAATGTTAGTTCCCTGTGGGCAGGAGGAATTTGACTGTTCTAGTCCCTGAGTCCCCAACTCCTTCTAAAATTGTGTCTGGAACATGTAAGATCTCAATAAATATTGGTTGAAATTAGAAGTTTCTTACCAGTTAGTCTGGTAGGAGACCCCAAAAGCTTAACAAAGCCCCTCTGTGGTTGTGCTGAATAAAATGAACACTAAGGAGCAGTGGAATGCGAGAAAAGGACTGTGCTTAGCTAAAGTGAGTTTTTTAAGAAACTGACTGAAGGTGAAATATAGTTAAAAAGGCACTGTGTTTGGCAGCATCAGCCTGCACCCCCCGATTCTAGAGTGTGGGATCTGGAGCACGTTGATTAAGCTCTTTGAGTCTCATGGGAGAAAAGGGATTGGAGTGCCAGGTAAGGAAGAAGGGAGGGTGGAAATGAAAACTGCTGGTGCAGAGCCTGCCACATGGTGGGTTCTCAGCTTTTCTCTTTTCTGTCCCTTTCTGACTTCCTGCAGAGATTCAAGATGGGTGGTCCCAGGAAGGTGAGTTTGTACCTAAGTCAGGCTCTGTACAGAAGATAGAGACCTGGCCCCTCCCTCAGCAGCTGAGTACATTCCCTACACAGAGCACATGGTGGACCCCTGGGGCCTTCAGCTGTACCCTTTTCCCTGTTTGACATGCTCGTCTATCAGACTCATCTGTTAGAAGTCCCTGCCCTGCCACCAAAGGCCATGAAGCCCTGGCAGATCACTGCCTTCTCTGAACCTTAGCTTCCACTCTTGATATAGTGGGTTCAATGACTTATCTATCTATCCTCCACTGACAATTAAACAAGAGGGTGGAAACAAATGCATAGGGGTGTTCCTAGCATCAGAGGCTGGTTCAGGACAGGTGCCACCTGGATGGATGGATGGAAGGAAGGATGGATGGATGTAGAACTGTCACCCACAGACCAGATAGAACATAAACCAGGGCAAAGAACAGGTTTGGAGCTGCTATCCTTCTGATGCCACTCAGAACAGGCCCCTGGCACGGCCCACCCCAATTGCTACTTCTTGAACCACAGCCTGTGGTGGAGAGGCAGATATGGGAAAATGGGGAAGACAGTAGACACCAAAGGGCTTGCGAAGGCCGGTGGTGTACAGAAAGGAAGTTAGGGCACCAGAGTCAGGAATAGGGATGGAAAAGGAGGCAAAGAAAGAAAGTGGGGTTGGGGGAAGAGGCCAGGACATAAGGTGGGAGAGAGGACTAGAAGAGGGAGGACTTTGGGGGTTGGAGGTCACAACAGAGTAGTTGGCAAGAATTCTGCAAGTTCTTGGCAGAATTAATCTGAGCGTCAACAGGCTGATGCTGTTGAATGGCTAAAGGGATGATCAGAAGCTCAGTACACAAGGTTGGGGAAGAGATCAGGGCTGGGGCGCTCGCACATCACCCACTGGCTTCCTGCCCCCCACCTTCATGCCCAACCTCACCAGGAAAACACCATGGGCGTACAAATGGATCCCCAACTGGATGCCATTGACAATCTTCTCCCGGGCCCACTTAGGGATCCCGAAGTTGGCGATCAGGGCCATGATGGGAACTGCAAAGAACCTGGAAGGAAGGAATCAGGTCAGTGATGACGCTGCTCCTGCCCTACACCCCACCTGTTGTACCAACCCTCTGCCATGCACACCCGCAGGCCCCTAAGAAGGTCCTAAACTGGAGGGAAGCCAGTGTGACCTTCAGAAGCCAGACATTAAAAGAGGAAAAGGAATCCCACTGGGATGGGAAATTCTAGGGGCAAAAAGTAGGTTGAACTCAGTTCCACCCGACACCAAATCCTGACACCTTATGGAAAGTCAACAGATGCTTAATGAGTGAATTAACATATGTTAATAACAATTAAGGACTTAATTGTTAAGTCCTTAAGAGCTTTATAAGCGTTTTATATATATATATATAAAATCTCTTTACTGTTCCAGTGGGTGATCTTGACGCAGGTACACTTTAAGCCGATAAGGTGGCCCAGGGGAAAATTCTCAGCGCTATCAAAGTATCCTTAGTCAGGGAGGTGACCCACATGGCTCAGCAGACTTCTCCAGTCTCACCCACAGCTCCCCTCAACAGTGTATTTCAAGAGATCTGCCTGCTCCCTACTCTGTCGCTGGTGAATCCTTTCACTATTTCCCCTGTACCTCTGGCCTACACCTCAGTACCTGTGGCCCTCCCTGATGGCACAATGGCTTAGGACACAGCACTGCAAGCTGGCCACAGCCACTTCAGTGCAAGCTTGATCCCTGACCTCAGAGGAGAGCCACGTGGTGCAGCAGACCTCTCCTGACCTGCCCACTGCCTCCCTCAGCAGTGTCCTTCATCAATCTGCCTGTTCTGCTCCCCACTTTATCTCCGGCGAATTTATCTCTCACTGCCCCTGCACCTCTGGCTTGTACCCCAGTTCTGTATGCATAAATAAATAAATCCTTAAAAATAAATAAATGAATATGAATAAACAGATGAGGATACTGAGGTAGAGAGCCGTTAACTGACTTATGTGTGAGGTCACACAATTTATAAGTTTTAACACTGGGATCTGAACCCGACAGTCTGGCCCAGGTCCCATCCACTTTACCACTATTACAACTGTTACTGAACGTTTACTATGTGCAGACATGAAGCCCTCATGTACTTCCCTATGCATGCTCAAGGTAACCTTTGATAACCCTTCTTCATGGAAAAGCAACCCGAGGTTTGTTTTTTTTTTTTTTTTTTTTTACTTTGGGATAGTAATTTTCTCCAGATCACTAAGGGAAAGGTAACATCTGGTGATAACTGCCTGACTTGAAAATTCATCTGCCTCCCTGAAGAGGGCTGTCCCTGGAAGTCAGGGACAGGTCAGGGGCACACCACACTCACCAGAGGGTATAGGCAGCAAAGAAGGGCACGTAAAAGGGCTGCTTCTCAGGGAAGTGTCGCAGGGAGATGAGCACAGCATAGCAGAACCACACGTATGCAGCCACCTGTAGCCCGATGAGCCCGTAGCCCGCCGGGGACTCGTATGTGTACAGTACCTGGCCTGGGTCAAAGAACTGGACACAAGGGAGCGGGTTCATCATAGCCTCTGGCCTCCAGGGGTCCCAGACCCCACCCAGGGCACAGAGGTTCTGGGTCAGAACAGAAACAGCAGCAGAGTGAGGGGTGGGGTAGAAGCATACAGAGGCAGAAAGAGAGGAGGACTAGAGAATACACCCACTGTAGCCCCATGTGGTTGACATAGGGGTAAACCGCCCCCCCACACACACACAGGTAAGCTCTGCCTCTGGTGTAAGCTCTGCAGTACAGTGGGGCTTACTACAATTCCATTTCACAGAAGAGCTAACTGAGGCTAAGGGGAAGCCTTTGCGCCAAAGCCACACAGGGGATATAAAACCTCAGAAAAAAACCCTGGGGTAGGTAAGAGCCTCCTAATTTTACAAAAGAGGAGAGACCCACCATGGCCCAAGTTCAGCCAGTAGGAACTGGGTGAGTGGGGAAATCCAGGTCAGTGTGACTCTTGAACTCTTCATCAGGAAAGTGAGCATAAATGTGACAGATAGTGAAAGACAGAGGAAGGAGGAAGAAACCTACCCAGAGAAGGTGAAGAGGGGTGAAGAGGGGAGACGTACAATCAGACAGATGGGAAGCAGATAATCACAAGGGTGGGGGAGAGAGCTTGGGAGAGCATGACTTTGGGAAGGGCTGGCAGATGGGTGAAGGCCATGGAAACTCTGGGAGGCTAAGGGGGTCTCACCTCGGCCTCATAGATGAGCAGCACCACATGAGTAAGAGTGTACAGGGTCATGTACACAGACAACTTCACGGAGCCCGAATGGCTGATGCGGCCCCTGGCAGCAGGCCATGCGGGGAAATAGCAGAGTGGGGGCAGTCAGGGGGCAGGGGCGGCCACCCCCCAGGCCCAGCCCCTCCCTAACCCAGACACCCCTCCAGCACGCCCTCCCACCCCAGCCTGGGCACCGTGTCACTGTGAATCCCTTCCCCAGAAGAATGAGCATCAGCAGGAAAATGAGGAAGCTGGAGGAGAAGAGCAGCTTGGCTGGGGGGAGGGGAAAGAAGGCGGCTCAGTGCAGGCTCGGTGCCCATGGGCACCCTCACCCCGCCTGCTGCATTCTCACCCAAGATCTTCAGACTCTCGTTGCCAATGCCATCAGTGGCATACTGACCCCAGTAGATGCAGAAAAACAAGAGGCTCAGGACTGAGGGGGTACGGGCAGACAGAAGAAAGGAATCAGCTTTGGAGCATCACTGTTCCCTAGAATCGTGATCCAGAGGGCAGAACCCTCTCTTCACCCCGTATTAGGACTTAGACAGTTTCCTCCCACTCACCTACTAGGAGACCTTGGAGTCCAGGCCCCCAGTCCCTCCTCCCTCACACCCAGGAGTCCGGGCCCCCAGTCCCTCCTCCCTCACA